CGTTCAAAATAATACGAAAAATGAATTAGCATGAAAGCGCTGATTCGTTCCTACCTGCTGAATCCGAAGTCGACTAGTTTTTATAAGAAGTAGACTGTGTTTAAAACAGAAACATTTTTTGGAGAAGTGCAACGAAATGCTCATGCATAGCTAAGCTCTATCACAGAGAAGAATGCGTTAGGAGTAAAGAAAACGTCCCTATGCAAATACATGGGTTAAATATGTAAATAAGTCAGGAGATAAAAGTGCTCAGTTTCAATAGCTAATTAGTTGCCTGAAATTCTGCCTAAACCTAGGGCACATTCTGATGTGATCCCCATTGGTTGAACAGAGCTTAGGATTCTATAAGTTGACTTGATCTACAGGATATTATATTGGTATCATGCGAGATGTCCATTGAAACGGTGTCCGCCCTTATGCATTAGAGGCGCGAACTACTCTTTTTGATAATAACACGCTTCAAGTGTGGGTGATCTTCCCAATTATATGCAAAGAATAAATGGGCAAATGTCCGAACACTTATGCGCAAAATAAACAAATAAAATCTGTCGACTGTTTGACTGGAAATTGACTTATTAAAGCAACTTTAGTGATTTACTTGGTGGCACTTTGGGGAGAATATACGAACGTGGTGTTTCGTGGTATTTAATTTGTGCTAATCGTGCTTATTTAGTGCTCTGATTGCTTAACTCCTCGTTTTAGTTTACAGGCAAATAAGGCTCAGTGATTGTACTTCTGTACTTCGGCAATACATTTTCTGCCCAAGTATTATGACCTCTTTCGTCCCCGGGGAAGTTTTGGGGCTCTATAATCAATCAAAAGCAACATGCAATGCTATATAATGAAATGGCATCTATGTACACTTTTGAAAACTCTGTTAATGAGATCACAAAAGGACACATTGCTTAGGTTTATAGCATTCGAGTTCTAGTGTATCACCTAAGAAAATTACTAGATTTCTAATTCATTCAGTATTTAATGTAACAAAACCGCTAGCCCTAAACAAGGAGCTAGTAAGTATAACGACAACATTTTCTGCACGCGCATTTTCACTCTTGTAAACAGAAAGCATATATTCTTCTCCATCTGAGGCCTAACAGTCCATTTTCTATCTGGTTGGAGGCACAGTCATCCTCATAATTTAATGCATTTACTTAGGAAAAGGAAAGAAGCAAATCACCAAGTACAAATTTTAGGTAGCAGATGTTACAAATTAAATTTTTAGATATTTGACATTGGTATTTAGGTTATATATGTAAAAAAGAGATTCGTCTGATACTTACTTACAATGATATCATCAAAATGATCATTTAACGGCCCTATATTCGTATCATTTTAATTTAAAAATATCACACTACCAACCATATACTAGGGTATGCAGGCAGTAGACTGTGTAAAGTTTGAAATATTTAACAGCCAAAACTTGTGCATTTATTGCGTTTACCACGGTGTTTGTTTGACAAGAATCGCCAACTTCCTCAACTGTAGTTAAAAGTGGCAAGCTAGAACAGCAGATGAGACAACATAAAGTATGGGTGGAAAACAAAAGTCAGCATAATTGAACTTGTGTTTTAATGGAGAATAAGGACATCACAGAGCAATGAGTAAGGCATGCTACCTCAATAAGTTGCCCAAATTACTCCATCTTAGGTAAGCTTGGATAGCATGCTGCTTCGACATGCTGTACCAGCTTTGCTGATTAAACTCATACAAAACTTTGCATAAATTTACAATAGCCTAATATGAAATGTCCTTTTAGACGGTATGATTCACTACTATACGTGCAAATTGAGCCGCAAATAAATTACATGCTGTTTTTTGAGACTGGTGAGCAAAATTTAGTTCAGTTTTTGGTATGGACTGCGGCACTGGCCTTTCGCTACTTCTAGAATCCTTTAGAAGCACGCAGTTATTTATGCGCATCGTAAAATACAAATAAATACCATTGAATCCGTTTGGTACGCTTTGATTTGCTCTGCAGTATTTTTTATCATTTTAGTTCTTTATAAAGTGACTGCTGAACCCGAGAATTGTGATTTTAAGCTTGTTGGATTTAGGGCTCGAGTTCATTGCAATTCAGAAGAGGCAGAAGCTTCTCGCAAAATTCGTATAGTGGAACGCCCTGCCTATACATATAGCTTAAACGATTTGGTTTTGTCAGTGAATTGATCTGTTCACACTTTCAAGGCGCCACTTTAACCCCAGAGGACCATACCCACTTTGCTGTGATAGACCGCCGACCCCACTGTTCACTGGGAAATGTTCACTTGTTGAAGATCAAGTAATTATGGCTGACATCTATCCACTCGGTATAATATGACTTAAACACGCGCAAAAACATTTGAAAACAGCCAAGATTAATCAATTGGTCGTGATAGTCTTGTTCTTGCAAGACAGCACCAGATTTTGTAATTTGTACTTACCTGCGGGAAGATATGTGCCCTTTAGTCAAGCTGAGAGAGGGGAATAATAATCCCTAACCCCTAGTCTCCATAATTTTCTCATGATTCTTTAGGTGATGACTCTCACACTTTCTTGGCATCGTATAAATACGTGAGAAATACAATACCGACTAAAAAATAAAGGTGAGAAAGAAAAGAGGTGGCCCGGTCTGGATTTTTACTTTTAGAGACAAAGTGCTTCATTGCGCTACTGTTTTCAACAGAAGTAAATCCTGTTAGGAAATAACCACAGGTGATAAAGGCAGTGGTTTCAATGACTAAAATATTTCAAGAAGTTGTTCAAAGTAATTTGATTTTTATTAGACCTTGATTATCTTTAACGATGGTTTCAGTTCATCCTTTTGATCTAGTTTTCTCAATGGTCATCGACTAGTTTATAGTCTGCCGATAGCATTTTCTTAAACACCAAATAAAGATCCAATGTAGTTTCAGTCTTAGTAAGTAGAGTGCACATTAATTTTAAGAAATATTTGCTTTTTCCGACCATAGTTCGGCTATGGCAACAGATGAGCTAAAAATAATTACGAGCCCTACTACTAAAGTGGGATGATAGGGGTTCATCAGTAAATTAGTCATAGTTAAGGTGACTGTTCAATTCTGAAACATTCAAAACCAATGAAGCCAGATTATTTTTTAACAGTGAAAATGCATTGATTTGAACTTGCCGGCAAATAATGACAATAATTAGAACAATTCTCCACTTTAATGTAGAGACTATTGGTGAAGTCCTTGGTTAATTACTTTACCATGATGCAATATAATCCAGCAGTTTTTGTTACTGCATACTGCAGAAAACAATGGATACCATGGGCAAAATAAACAAAATAAAAGACATAAATTGGGATAAAGAAGAATGGCAACATTAAATAGCTTTAATACTCCCCAAAATAAGATCATGCTGCCCTCATTGACATAACTATATACCAATCGTGATATCTGAACATGGACCAAAACGGAAATCATCATCCCAAGCGTCCATATCCTCGCGGTTTGGCGTTCTTGACTCACCCATTTATGTGTAGACATAAAAACTAAATTTGTAGCCCTTTTGCATGAGCAACTCATCATAGAAATTACGTGGAAAATAAGGACATACCATTTTTCTACGTTGCAATGCTTTTTTTAGTAAACTTTAATGATGTCTTAACCTTATCGAATTAATGTCCAGCAATATACCAAACTCTACTTAGTAGCTTAATAAATAATCAGAATACTCGTACATATTCTTTTGTTTGTTTCTCGGCACAAATTTAAACAAAATTTGCATTCTGCCTCTGATGCTTTCTTTTGTCAAGACTTATGCTTTTGAATAGTAGAACATTTACGAATACACAGTGTTTGGTAGGAGCAGGGGATGTGGCACTTAATTCCCTACTCCCACGTTAAACGGGGAAGGTGTTATAAAAAGTTCTTCAAGCCAGAAAAATAATCGTGAAGATTGATATAATCTCGCACTTAGTTTTTTGAACATGGCATTACGTAGGGACGCGTTCGAGAGTAAAATTTTCTCAACTTTACATGCACGGTGTTTTTAGGAATTATTTCAGGTGCTCGAAAGGGTTGAGGGGGAATTAGTGCATTTACTCTTTTTCGGTCTATTTTGTATACCGCGCATTGTCTAAAAACTGAAAAATATTACGTATGTTTTATTTATTTCCGAGATGTGTGCGTTTTGCTACATTGTCAATGAAAAAGTTACTAAGACAGATTTCTGCTTCTTGTTATAATAAGATTCAGCAGCAATTTGCGTAAAAGTGAATGTTGCATTACTGAATAATTGTTTTGCTTATTTTCACTCCAAATGCATTCAAATGAGCAAATCAAAAGTGCACCACAGTAAGAGAATCAAGAATTTAGTATTTACACAGAAACGAGTTTAAATGCCAAAATAACTGAGGAACATCTTTACTTATAATTTTATCCACTAGTAAAATCCACCGCCAAACATTCGGATTTGGCCAAATTCTAGGCTTTGCATGTGCCCATGACAATACAATCACAGGCCTGATAGACATTTTTTTTAATAGTCCCAATTTTTGAGACATTAGATCTGTGGTACAAGAATTCGAAAGACAGCCTGATTTAACTCCCTTTACTTTGCATGACCCGCAATAGTTTAAGGTGAAAAATGCCTTTTATCATAAAATCTTTATTCAATGGCAAATACTAATAGCGAGTGATTGCTTTTTAGATGATTTCATACATACATAAGCAAATGCTCTGCGTTGAGGAAGAGGTAGATTTTTTCAGAGGGGAATTTCGTTCACCAGTGGTGGAAGGGAGGCAGAGCGGAAAATACACACAGAAAATACAAAAAACTGATTTAGTGGTAATACTTTCTCTATCCCAACATTTGGAGTCTATCACACGGGTTCGATATAGATAATATATACAAGGATTTATGGCTTGTTCACTGGAATTCTGCAGCTGGAATAGTGCACAATGTGGAGTCTGAAAAATCTCTTAGACATAAATACTATACATACCACTCTTTATTTGGGAATTCGATTTCTACCGGAGTGCATCTTCGAAGAGGGACTAGTTCGGTTGCTGTTTCTAGAGAGGGAGACAAAAGTGGTGTCGGCGCAAGTGTTGAAGTTGAGCGCCGATTTATGAATATCCTATTTTCCTCCACGTTATAGGAACCCTCATTTCGCCGGCGGAATTTATGAACGACATAGCCAATAATTAAGGCTATAAGAAGGAGTGTAGTGCCAAAACCGGCTAAAAGAAGCCAGGTGTTGAGGGAAGGAAGAAAACTTGTAATTTCCACTTGACCATTCTTTTCTGCTTCGGAGAGCTGCTCGAGACTGGCACTGTTATCTACGCCGTTCAACCGATTAGCATCGTCTTGAGGTGCTCGGTCGTGGCTCCAAGGTGGGAAAATTTCCTTAGACTCTGAGGGGTATAATTTGCCGCCGATGTCAGCACTGCTTGTGTCTGCAATCGCCGGAGCTTGGTGGTGTTGAGTCATGCTCCTGAAATCATTTGGAAATGGTAATACGCAGAGTTATTAATTTAACATAAAACCTCATTTTTGTAGCAGTTTTAGCATTTGGCCTATTAATACATTAAAAATATCCAAAATAGATGATAAAACCAACATTCACAAGAAGTGCAAGAGATGCAATTATTTTGGCATTAAACATAGCCACTCCATTCGTAATAAACTTAGTTTTCATATATTTAGAACGATTTTAAAGGTTTATTCATGCAGTTTACATTTCGTTTCCCTTATCACCCTCTCAGCACGTTTACTTGTGTTTTTTTTTAAAGTAAAATAATATCAGCGGTACAACGTACAAATCCATGTAGTTAAATAAGGCATTTGACCAGCAAAGTTACTTTGAACTACTGGGTTGAATAACACGTAATTAACCCAATGTTCACACATTAACTCCCAATGATCAGCCCGTGTAAATGATTAAGGTGTTGAAATTATGTAATGCACAGTGATAAATGCTTGAAAACACCGGAATTTGTAGGGATTTCATTCAAAATTTGGTGCATTTTGGTATAGCACTGACGTTAGTACGTGTGTTCATTACACTTTTCAACTTCAAACCGATAATTACTAAAAAGAAAATATTTGGGTTTTACTCTCTACATTAACAGCCGTGAAACTGTCTTGTGGATTAAGTGAGGTCAATTATACTTTTTTTGTGGTTTTTTAAATGTTTTTAAAAAGAATTTTAGGTGAGAAACACAGGGACGTATTCAAATTGCACTTCCAGCTCGTTTACTTTAAGAATTGTTGGAGTTTACTATACCACCTGATATTGTTAGGTGACTTATTTGAGGTAAAAAGTTGTTAGAGAAGGTGAAGATAAAAATGGCACTGTCACAGAAAGAGTTTTAGAGCTTTTGCGCACCCACTTCCACTGGGAAGAAATTTATTCGATGTCGGTGAACTGCCCTTTCAAGACACATGCGCACTTATCTTCAATCATGAGATCTGTGTCATTTTGATTACTACAGTTTGATTCTAAAAGTAACATTACTTATTTCCCCGCTGCATTAAAAAATATAATCGAAACATTACGCGACGGGATAGACTCAGTAGATGTTTAAATGTGTAAAGATTTTTCACTACTGGCGTTGTCATGGTTGAGTTAATTTGAATGAAAACCCGGTTCGACTTTTTTAAGAAAGAGCCAATACTATTCAAATAAGAAATGAGTCTGTGATCAAGCATTTTTTGGAAATGTACTTATAAAACCTAATGACTTACTTTTACAAGCCTCAAATATACACGTTTTTTAATGAGCGAAAAGTAGAGAAAACTAAAACTTTAATATACTTTACACCGAGCTACAGGCATAGCTGTGTTAAAAACGGGTTGAATCTCTTCCAGTAAGATTATTTCGATATTAAAATTATATCGTTTCAAGCATTCCATCAGAAATGTGTAAGCTTAAGGCATATGACTACTGATTCTTCATCGTTCGGGAAGCGATTGGTATTATTAGTTTGATCAGCTTTTGCAAGAAACATTATGGACTGATAGGATTGATTACAAAGACTGAAGTATTATATTCAAAGTAATATCTACTTTTGCGCCGAAAAAGTAGTCGCTTAATGTGGTCTTCATGTACGCAGAAGTATAAGGCTTCCAGCTTTATGTTTGGGATTGACTATTTGGATGGTCCCGACGTCTAATTCACTGGACACGCAATTCAACACAGGACCGAATAAGGCTTTAACCCCCGCTAATAACTTTACTCCCAGAGGTCCTAACCGGAAAAGCAGCTTGACAGCATTCTGTGGGTATTTGTGCAGTGCGTTCAAATTTGAGTGATTAACTTTATTGTCTAAAGATGAGCTACGATTTTTACTGGTAATAAAGAAGAACTAGACTTCTATGGAACCAATTGTGATTGAATCAGCCCTTAATTGGAACATCACTTATCTTTAAACTTGTATCAAACCATCTTGGAGACGGTTTGTTCTTGCCCAACGACGTAAATATTTCATTGGTACTTATGAGTAGAACATTTTCTGTCAGCACAAGCACACTGCAATTAATTAAAGCTTCAAATTAAAATAATGTTGTTCCTGACAGCTCACATATTTTGACGAGAAATGACATTTGATGCCAGATTTGGCATTTGAAGTGTTGATGTCACTTCATCTTCGTATGACCATTGAAGAGCACATAGTAGTATTTTAAATTGTGAGCTACCATTTAAATACTTCTAAAGTGTATTTTAATTAGGCAACATTTCAGGCATATTAGGTAAAATGATTAATTACTTTAAAAACAACTTGTTTGGCAGTATCAGCGATTTTTAACAGTATTTTAAGCCATGCAAACACACTAATGATCTGTAAAATAAAGTGCACTAGCTATGTTTGATGAACATACTGGTGTAAATTCCAAGCGTTGCCTTTTAACGATGTTGAACTTGGTTCGTTAGGCAAAGGGAGGTTCCATTTTGGAACAACAATTCCATTCGGGTTGACTGGCTTGCAATTGGCCACCTTGCTTTTGAAAGCAGTGTCACTCTCAAAGCAGTTAGGCTTTGCCACCACCAAGGGAGTGAGCGGTTTTGAGGAGGTCAGATATGGCTTTAATGATGATGTTGAAACATTAAAAGGAGATGGCTTTTTGAAGGCAGTATTTTACTAATTATAAATTTTCTTTGAAATCTAAATCTTAGTTGTTCCATAAATGTAGACAAATTGATTATGAATAAATCGTTAGGTCAATTAAGATCCCTAAATTTTGCCTCTATTGTTTCAGTAAGTACCTATATTAGGATTGTAAATATGTGTCATCTAACCTGTTCAGCTCCCATGTCGTTCGCGGGTCTAAAAGATAAAACACAAATTTTAGGTAAAAAAAATCTTCCCTATCAACAGTGGCTAAAGCCGTGGTGAACATAGCAGCTGAGATTAGAAGTAAAAGGTGTCGATTATTTCAACTGTAATGTCAGAAATTTTTAATTACACATCCTACGAATTTCATGTTGGCAGACAAAGAAATCCATATCAATAACTAAATAAAAACATTGTCTTATATTCTGCGTGGTTAATTTGCTGCTTTCAGATAACACTACTGAATACGAAGCTCTCAACTTTGAAACAAAAAGTGCTTACAAGTTTGCTATTTGTCGGACCTTTGGAGTGAAGGTTGGATCAATTAAAATATCCTTCCCATCCTTGTAGAAGATGCCACTAATGATTTCTCCCATAAGAAGGTCCGCCAGAAAGACCCCATTCACGTTGACGCCTAGTTAAAAATAGAAAACTTTGTGCTTGCAGAGGACTTACCACTAATGTGGCCGACGAAGGTTGGCCCAACGTAGTTTGCTACACTCGCAGATATTAATGTGGGATCACAACCCACGTAGACTTGATGGACTTCATTGAAGTGGCTTCCACTGGACCCTACAAGGCAAAGCAGTTTCATACTCTTAATCCTCATTTCCTTGAAAATATTTTAGCTTACGATAGCTATTATGAGAAAAAGGAAGCCTAGCTTTTGTTCAGCAATGCAAAATGCAAATACAGTTGACGATTTTGGTTCCCAAATTCACTGGAAGTGGTAACTATCGGTGTTTGAAAACGAATTAAAGTAAGGTTTTTCATGCAATATCAGAAGGGGTTGCAACATGAAAATATGGAGGGTGGCAATAATGGGGAATTAATAAGCAACTAACATGAAGGAATATCAAAAGTGTAGATATATTTTTAGATTATATTACAACTTTCCCATATATTTTGGTCTGAATTAATGGATTTTAATCGAAATTTTCCCTTTCACAGGTAAAGCCACTTTAATTACTGTAGACGAATGAATTCACGTGGCTAAAATAAAAATCTTCAAGTTCGTTAACCCTATTCAACTCATCCAACTTTAGAATGTTGCTAATTTTTAGCCGACTGCAACGCGATTAATGAGAATAAAGCGGTCTGAAGGGATTTAGATCGTAGAAGGATTCCCATAAAACAAAGTGGAGTGCCAAGATCCTTCTCACCCCAATGTTCTAAAACAAGTTAACTAACAAACTGTTAGTGGAATGGCAAAACTGGAAGCATTAGCAAACGTCTTAAACAATGGTAATTTCCATACCCTCTGATGTCGATTCAAGAACATCCTCAGAGTCCACTTGAAGTTGTAAATATACATTATTGCGAATAACTCGAACAACATGGAATAACCCATCAACCATGTTGACGTTGGACTCCTGCAATATCTGAATTCCACTTCCCATGTTGTATGTCAAACGTAAAACGAACATTTTCTACGGATGTAAAGAAGGTACTTTTGGTAAACCAAAAGCTTTTGCTGCACAAGTTATATCAAAAGGAAAAAAAGCGAGTTTAATAAGATGACTAAGTACCTTAGGAACAACGTAAGAATATATTATATGTGCATTATTTAAAGGGTATCTTTCGCATAATGTATTAAATTGCGAAGTAACGTTGCCATCACAATCTAGGGGAATGTGCACACATGAATGGCAATTAAGATCAGAGCTTTACAATGCATTTTATATAGAGTCTTTCCAATATTTGAGCATTAGAAGCACCATTTGTAGATAAGTTAACTATTTACTCAAATGAATTAATATTCCACTCAATTTTGTATTGTACGGTTTATAACAAAGTCGCAGTTTATAAATGCAGTGCACCTACACATGCCATTCATCTGTTTTTAATATTTTAAGTCAATACGCCTATCGTTTCGTCCGCTCGCCAAAATCGACATTTTTCATTTAATCCATAATGCATTGGATAAAAAAGAATATGCAGAGTTCGTTGGAAGCACTCTTTAATAACTTCAAATATAAACATCAGATAAAAAAGTATTCTCATCGCGCTCCACAGTGCCAAATGGAAATAGAAGGTTGTAAGTATGGAAGAACTGATAAGGAGAACAAGTAATGAATATTTCCCAATCTAGGAAAATATAAATCAAGAAGGCGTTCATAAAGGAAAGTCATATCACAAAACTGAAAAGAATAAGAGCAAAAACGATTATTTTAAAGACTAGCCACGATCTATAATGAGTATTCCTAAGGTTGTGCCCCTAGTAAAAGGAAGGAATAATACATTAATTTATGTTAAATTTAAAATTATATTGGATTAGTGTGCACTTTAGGGCTTGAAAAATTGAAATCCGACTTAGTTGCCATGATTTGGAGTTATGAATGAGGGGCAAGCTAATTTCGCAATGTTGAATATGGTCACAGAGAGACAAGAACAGCTGCAGATTACGTTGCTCAAGTACTTGATAGCACCACATCATAACATGAAAAATGCACGTTTTTTGACAAAGACGAAAGGATTTCATGTTACAGTAAGTGTCCATGTTTTGGTTCTATCCAAGTACACAGGTTACATTAAATGGCTTTTAAATGCTTTCAAATGGTAACCAAAAACAGATTAGACTTACCCTATATGGTACCAACTCAAACCTAAGGAAGTCAAGGGATTTGCTGTGACTGGTGATATGAAGTAAGGTTGCACGCGACTTTTGAACTGTCTGAATTCCGAAGGATATTGTGTCCCTTGATGTGTTACGGAGAGGACTGAACTCGAATATTGCACATCCCGTCATATTGCTTGAATATTTAATAGCCGTTGCAACTATAAATAATAGCTTTCCTTTTGGTATAATATGCCATTCATTGAAGAAGGAGGCTTCATTACCGTGTCTTGTGTTTTAATTAAGTTCGGTGAATCACTAATTCCTATTGCAAATTAAACGACAAACTCCTTCGATTAAAGTAACCCCTTTCCACTCTTTTCAAAGCTTATTTTTATCTGTTAACTGCCTAATAATTTCATAAAAGGGGGCAGTTAAATAGTTTGATGATAATAAATGAAGAAATTAACCCAAAGAAACGGGTTGAATGAGGGATGAACTTTTCAAATAAAGCTTGATTTATCATTTTAAAAAAACACAGCCATTTTTTTCTAATTTATTCTTGAAGAAATTGATTAGCATACCGTCAGTGCAAACTTGTCCCCTGAATCCAGACATGATGCAGTCGCAGAAGTATGTGTCCAGTTGTTGGACGCAGCGACCACCAAAGCCGCAGACACCGGGTCGACATTGACTCGGAGAGCTGCCAGTTTTCCAAGCTCCCTCACTACTACTTTGCTCATTGAGATGACAACCCAACTTGACGCCTTTTGCGTATTTGGCAGTTCGTAGGGGATTTTTGGGGGGATGAAAGGCATTCGATTCAATGACGAGGGACGACTTCACTGATTTCTGAACAATTTCTACATCAGCCAAACAGCCATCGTATTCATGAGTCGATCGAAAGCGATTTCTGAATTTGCCCGCACCCCTAAAATTATATTTTAAAACAAAATGCTGTCACAAATTGTACCAATAAACATATTTTACTTGGATTACCCTCGTTCAGAACTCATTTTACTCATTTCTCGGACTATAATAATAATTATATTATATTAAGTAACATTTGTTGTAGCAAATTAGAGTACTCGTAAAGAAAAAATAATAATGCTGTACCTGTGAGCGTTAATCATTAATCAGTAAAAAAATAGCGTACTCGATAGGTAGTCCTCCTAGAAAGAGTCTTTCAAAGGCATGACGAGAGGCAGTCGCTTGGCCTTCAGGAAGACCCAGAGGAGTCAACTTCTCGCCATCGAGCTCGATGTCCAGCGTAAATGTGCCTATTGTGCACACTTGAACCTAAAGCAGGGACGCGTTGTTTGATCAGTACAAGAAAACTTCGCATTTGTAACAATAAGATATGAAAGCAAATTGTGACATTTTTGCAGCAGCGGAAGGGAATCATGCACCACTCTAACAATAATTGCGAGCGAATTGGCACCTAAGACTATGACGTTCCAATTACCGAAGCATCTCATGGTGAAAGCGCCTGCGTTTTTTTAATGCTTTCGTCAGCTGTTCACTCATTACTCCTCTTATACGCTTCTCGGTCGAAATAGAATTGCATTTATTATACTTAGTGACATTCTGTACTCCAAGGAAACGGTTCTCAAATTCATTTTACCACAGACAAATAGGCAAAGCAAATAACAGCGTTTTTCAAAAAGAAAGTTTCGAAAAGTAATTGCAATATTCTTAATGGTCACCATTTTAGTGAACTCCTTGATTTTGTTCTTGGTAGATGATTTATTGGCAAGAATTCGTTTATGAGATCGTCAAAAGTTTGGCATTTTAAAACGATGCAAATGCTTTACGGCATTCAAGCGCCTTGAAAGTACCGTCGTAATTATAAAAAAGCTAAAAACATTTTCGCGCTGCACTTTGCTTTTTTAATTGATTGGGTGATAAAGGGCAAAAAATATTACTTTTTCAATTAAAATCACACTTTTTAACTTAAGGTAATTATGTAATTAAACTACCCGACAGATATTCGTTGAAATAAAAATTCTCATTTCATTTGTGAGAAAGTAACAATTTGTGCACTATTTTGCACATTTAGCAAAATGGCAAAATTATATCTAGGTGGATGAATTTACTAAAAACTTGTTTGCAATATTACAGTTTCCCTTTTTGAAAAAACACAAAAGACATGGTCAACTTACTTGAATGTCATGCCACTGCGTATTGTTCAAATGAGCCGTTTTTTCGAATGCAAATTGGCCTTGAATTAAATCGTATCTGTATCTCACATGTAAGTGAGCGTCGACTATCTCCAATCCCATAAAATCCTCCTTCAAGTTCGTCGCAGCCAAGATAATTCCGTTGCTCTAAATTAACGCTTCTTCATAATTTCGTAATTTATGTTCTCCCTATGCTAATTTGTTGATTACTTAATGGCGTCGGTGGCTGAAGTAGCCTGTTTAGACAAAAATATAGCGAGGGTGTTGATTTAAAATGACTTCACAAACTTCTTTAGGATATAAAGTCTTCCATAAGCAAAGTCGTTTTCTCTATTCAGTCCTTTGTTTGCTAATTTTATTGAAATTATTACTGGGTAAAATGTGATGTTGGGGAATAATAGGTTTCCAAAAGGCGTATAAGAAACTCAAATCAACACATTGCTCTATCTTTCACTTAGTTCCAGAGTCAGGTTGAATTGTCGCAGCGAGAAGTGCCACCCTATTTACTTCCCCCAACGATGCAACCGTAGCTAATGGAAATCGTATATGGTAATTTGAAACACCAAATGCAACTCCACTAGTGCTGATTAATATGAATAAACATTTATTTTCTGGTAATAAAATGGTGAATAAAATGGAATGCGTAAATTGCCAACAAGCACAAAGCAATTGTATGAATGCTGTATTTAATCAGCACTTTGGTAACAATGTTACCTTTATATCACCAATTTTACGACCCTTTTAAAACGTAAAATTTTATCTAACTAACTTTGCCAACTGTATATTAATCGAAAACTTAGTTTTATTCTTTGAAACACCTACCATTGATGTTTTTAAGGAAAGACGAATGCTGAGACAGGCCTCCAGCCTCAGCGTGTACTCCATCAATCCTCCATCACCATTAAAATGCAGTGGAAAGGTTCGAATTCTTTCATCCTTCGCAGTTGAAGCCGTAATTTCAATGCTATCCTTCCAGTTATCCACAAGCGTCAGAAGACCAGGATCATAGGATCCGTATGAACTTTCTTTAGATCTGTAGTTTGCTACCTCGTTGATAATTTTGATGATGTCCAAACCGTTCAACTTAAATTGTGATAGGCGTCCAATAAAAGCATCCGTCTCCAACTCTGTATTATAGACCGAAACATCTTCCGCCAAAACACCAATGCAATTGTAGTCACTGTCAAGTACCGTTGCATTGTCTTTAATGTCTACAAATGGCGCATTTAGAGCCAAATGGGTTATTCGTCATGAATCAGAGAATAGTAGTCTTAATTCAGTAAAAATAACATTTTTGGTCTCTATTTACCAATTTGATTCCTCTGACCATGCAGAGTAATCAATTCTTGATCGCTGATGGGTTTATATTTTTGGCAGTGGAAAATTAAAAGACATTTGCCAAATACTAGCTGAAAATCCGTGCATTCCATCAGCTTAATGCATAAGCGAGTGGTATATCTAAAGGAATCATCCCTGGATAGTTCCATTGCAAATTTAGAACAACGTAAATCATTTTGATCGTAGGTCTTTGTTGGGTTCTTAAGTGCGTTTAATTTTCTAATGTAATTCCCTGCTTCCGTACATCCATGTACCACCCATCCATGCTGCCTCGAAATATGGCACAACGTTCCTTAAAATGTTGCCATTTGCAGAGGAGCAAAATAAAAATCAAGTGTGCAGAAAGTGTCTGTGGTGTGAGTGCAATGAAAAAACGGCTTCAACCTAATACATATTCCAAGGGAATTGGTTGTTATTGGAGTTATAACGTTGGATTACATTAATGATTTAAGCGGGGAAATAAAATCAAAATCCGTGTTTAAATAAAAATGCAGATAATTCGCTAGAAATTCGGCTTGTTCGTGATGCTTTTCGAAAGCAATTTTATTTCAAGGTTCAATCGCCTAGGGGGAAATCATGAAATACATAGAACCAAAGCTAGACTTTTATTAGCAAAAATATCATTTAATTTTACTGGGCAAAGATGCGCATAAAGCTTATGGAATGTTTCCACAGATGATGGATTCTTAGTAAACAAGGGATTGGAATATTTGTTCATGTGTTCAAATTTGTTTAAGGTAACTCAAAATGAACGCTCTATGGGAGCCTCTTTATGCTGATCAAAGTTGGGAAGATGTGGAGGTAACATCAACTTTTAGAAAAATGCAATTCTGGTTATCAACACGAAACGTGTAGTTGTGTATGTTAAAATCGAGACTGATCAAGGTTTTAATGCTAATTCCTGTAAAGTGTAGAGTTAGGACATTTTTAGAGATTGCCAAGACATTTAGACCAAGCGGTGAGTAAGCCGTACGTCCACAAATTTTTCATTCGTGCATCCCCACTGAGTTTGAATCATTCCAGGCCAAAAAATGACGAGTTTTAATGCAGTTACTTGTTTTCATCGCCAACTTGTTAAAGAGGATTTGTAAATTGATGAGTTTCACTATTGTTTGCCTACAAGCACTGGAGAATAAACACAAAGGCAATCCTTTAAATAATCCTATAGACACACTTTTTGTTAATCTGAACAAGTGGTTTAAAAGTGATCCGTCTTAATTATTGACATAAACCGTGGCGTCTTACCTGTCCATCGCCTTTAATGGACCGATTTGAGAAACCCTAACTTTTATGGTAGTCCATTTTGGTTCTTACGCTTCAACAAGGATCTGCTTAGGGTCCTCATTTGAATTTCGTCTTTATGTATTTATTTTAAATACTACTATTTGCTGATTACCTGTGATTGCTTTAGGAATCAGTTTTTCTAGCAGATAATTATTACGTCTGGAATCTGAAGTAATGTGAATTATTTCCCTAAGCTAGTCCATCGAAAAGTCAAGTTGTAGGTTACGTTTGGAATTCCATAACGAACTATTAAGTGTCTATAAATACGAAATTCTGTTAAATTCGAAGAAGAAGCACCTCTGTTTTTGACTGTTGTATTTTTAGATGATGGAATTTCTTAAAGAAAATGCAGGTTCAATTGACCTGTGCAAAACTCTTATCCACAAATAAATGGTGAAATAACCTTACTGTAGCTCATTGTGAAGTTATCGACGCTGACATCTAGTCTTTTTGACCTCCGCAAGATTTGTAAAGTATGCCATCCTCCGTTTGAGTCAATTTTTGTAGTGACATATCTCTACAATTGTTATAAGTGAGAAAGTGATTATTAGGCATCACTCTTTTCCCTGTGATTATTGTGATCATAACATGAAACAACCAAAATACACGAAGCTAACATCGCTATATGAGCCTTATGTCCTGCCCTTATTATCTTGGCAAATCTAAGACCTATGTACCATCTTTTCTATAGGAGCTCTTTGTCTGTTGAAACAAGATTATGCTTTTGGGCAAAAGTGTGATATCCTTAAAATATAGCGGTAATGTTCTAATGTCGAGAAAGATATTCGTGTGATAGCATGCAAATTAATGAAACATTAAGTATTATATTTAAAATGATACACCTGGGATGTTTTGAAGTCAAACGATGTTGATTTAATAGCAAAAATTAAGCAAATATTTCCCCCAAAACTAACTTGCTTAACCGTGCTTTCTTCATTGTTAAACTCCCTTTTAAGTTAACAGAGTACTTTTAAAGGTGGTGGTACTGTCACTTCAAAAATTTGTTCCTGTAATGTTATAATTCAATTTGTGATCCAAGCAAAAGTACTGAATTTGTAAAAGTCGGCATAATAATCCTAATAAGTTAATTAAAAGGAGAGTAAAAAGCTCATTATACGCTTTTAACTAAGACCACTACGGGAGCGATAAGTAATTAAGGGATAAAACTGAGATGCATATGCCGATATTTTAATGCAAATAGTTTTTAATGAAAACTTTTATCCACTGATTAACAATATGCCTGAAAGGGTCACAAGACACAAAATTATCAAAATATTTGGGTGAGTCACATAAGAAGGAAAAAGGGATTCAAGCTTAAGGTCAGAATGAGCACATCCGTACATTCAGCATATGAAGTTGCGAAAACTTAGTAAGTGCGGGATCAAGAAATCACTCATGGTTGGCTAATGGCCGAAAAAAACTATGTTTTAGCGCTGTTTTCAACTCGATTCTCTTTTCGACTCCAGACATAGGTAAAATAAAAGCTAAACAAATGATTTGTGTACAGAGTTAGTGCTAGCACTAAAATGCCCAAATCTCACTAAATTGTGGGACATCCGCGATGGAAAATAGCTCAAGCGCTGAATTTGGTTAAAATCCAGTTTAGGATCTAGTTCCCCAAAAAAGCAACTTCAAAATGAAATATTTTCTTGCACGCAATGCCTGCACACTTTTTTCAGCGCACAACATTATCAGCTCCGTAGGACAAAAGTGGTTGGCAAAGTGATTTACAGTTCTAAAATCGTGGTCTATACGAATTAGCTGTTCAAGCTTTAATTATAAGTTACAAATAAAAAAGCATTTTGGTTCAAAAATGTGCATTTGAAAGTGCTTTAATGAACAGAGTGAACGAACGAAAATAAGTCTCACACTTCTGTTCGGCTAGTTCGTCAAATATACCAATGGGATTCAAGGGGTAGTTATGCACCTTAAATACCATAAACATGTGTAGCTGTTTAAAGTCTTAAGATGTTTTGCAAAATAAATTAACGTTATCCAATAAAAGTGCTTTAATTTTAAGTTTATGGAGTGGATTAAACCAGTCCAGTTAAATCGTGGTGGCGTTTTAGTAGTAAATCGTTGCCAGTATAAAGAAGGAGCATAGCTTAAAGCCTGTGGTGAGGCAGAATCAAAAGATTACCTACAAATCTTTCTGCGGGTTCATGGATTGCCTCCTTATATAGGGGTTCACAAAGGTGCTCAAATATGAAATGTTTAGCCATACCTAATGTACGCACTAAAGTAGAGGAACAAGTGAAACAACTTATAACAAAGTAGTGACGCGAAATTGTAAAGAGGTTCCCATAAACGCTAAATCATCTGATTTTGAATAAATTGTTGTGCAGTTTGTTGGACAGAGCAAAAATTTCACATTACTTTTTTTCTTAATCTCCAATTATCACAAATCTTTTGCGCCCTAACCAAACAAATAGTTCCCAAAATAGTTAATTTCCACTAGTCTCCCAGTTGGACCATACGTTAGGTTCCACATGGCTTAAAGTTAGGCAATAATAAAATTGCATCAACTTTACAAGTCTAAAGTCACATGGATAGGCACTTAGTCACGCGACCATTTAACAACTGGCGCCGATCTTCTATACATACATACATACAAAAACTTCCTGACAAACAAATAAGGAATGTAGATAGAGATTTTGTGACAAATAAAGTGCATTAAAGCAACTTCGCTCAATCAGAATTGTTTATTATAAAGAATGGAGGGGGCGAAGTATTTTAGGAGACGAGCACGAAGCCATTGTTTTATCTTTTCCAAAAGAAGCACTGAGGGTCCATAGACTAAATACATGTTTGGGGTTTAAATGTCTTTCCTGATTACGACACAATGAAAAATGATTCGTAAAAACAAACACAGGTTGTTTGTGTCGCACTGTAAATCAAAGATTCTTAACAAAATTACTTTTATACTTCCAGCTATACTAGCGAGAGGACTAATTCTTTCCAATTGGCAAGAAGCATGTATGCAAATTAACTAAATTTCTCGCTTCTTTCCCCAAATATATACTCTCAGTGAGGCTCTCAGAAGCAGAAGTAAGTGGATCAGTTTTCGCATTCGTTAGAAGTCATTTCAGTGACAGTAATCTACCTCAATTAATCTATTCAAATGAGAATTTTAAAGGAAAAATAAAACGGGAGTAGTCATTCTTCTAGATGACCCATTCTGGGAAATAGAAAAGTAGATGGCAATACATGAATGAAAACTTGAGTTAGCGAAGAGTTTTGATGCCAATAATATTACCAAATCTGCAACTTTCTTAGCAGCAACTTTAAAACAGGATAACTGCTTGGTATTAATGCTAAGCGGTTATAGAATGTCAATATAAGTGGCATGAGGGAAGAGGACATTGAAATAGTTATTTGTAAAAGTTTTTAAACTGAGTTTCGTTTTCACTGGAAAATGTTCCTTTGTAAGCACTAGATCATACATCAAGGAAAATTATGCTCTGTCATGCAAAAGAGGACAGCAATTCTAAATAATAACTAGCATAGTTTGAGAAGCAAAAAATTGCTAAACTTTAAAAATTACCATTTTTGCATAAACGCTTTATTTTATTGGGTTCTTTAGGGAATAGTTTTAACACACATTTGAAAGGTTACACATCGTACGCCAAATTATCTCTGATTTAGTCCTCATATTTCCCTTCGTTTTCACTTTTTATCACTCGAAAATTCATTTGATTAGGTCTAGGTGTTCCATGCAGATTATGGGTGACAAAAGAGTTCGATGTGTGACACACGAAGAATATAACTACATTATTTTCCACAGTGGCGTTAGTTAAACGCCCATTCGGTTTAGAGCATATCGCCATTGCAGCTTATGGTCCGGCCACAGCACACCGCGGCAATCAATTGTCCAAAAGTGGACAATCCCTGCAGTCAGTGCATTATAAAAGTGAAGTAATCATGGGAATTTTAGCTGTTTTACATGAAGCAGGATTATAATTACCACAGCTTGTCTTTAGTCACCTATCCTCAATTTAAGTCAGATTTACCTAGATGGTGACCCGTTTAACCTCCTTAGGAATCCAAACTTTAGTTTGTAATCAAATATGGATCCAAAGTTTGTTAAACAAACCTAATGTACTTTCAAATCACATGATTTTTATTTTGAAGTTCAGTTGTGGAGTAATATGGCCCCACTAATGTTTAGATAGGAATTGACTAAAGGATTAATGGATCATTTGTTAATTGAATTTTAACGTTTCAAGAAAACGGATTCTTAAAACGCTGAGTGCAGTTAAATGAAAAACTTCCCCACATGGGTTCCTTACTTTCGTTTCAAGGCCTAAATTGTAAAAGACAACTATTTGTTCGTTGGAAATTTCAATGCCGAAACGATCAGGTGCTGTCGAGGAGACACTGTTGCTTTCGAAGAGCAATGCATTTTTCTGAAAAGTCTGTAACCGGAGAACAAGACTTTCTGCCTCAGACTGTTTTGGTAAGCGGGACAGGCGAACGCCAATCCCCTGGAATCCGTCAAACGTCAGTATACGTGCAACTAGAATGCGACAAATTAGAAGCATGGGGAAATGGATTTTGTGATAATGTACATGATAATGATAATGTACATTTCTAGTTAAAATAGAAATTGCTTTAAAAGCTGCTCTACAATTATACAATATTTTGTAAAAAAAAGTAAGTAGAAAACACATAATAAAGTCCCCTTTAGGCTAGTTTAATAAATGACTGACAATTGTGACAGAACTTAAAAGTCTAATCCAGACAGGGACATCGACCTACTTTTTATAATATACCTCCAATTAATCCTTACCATTCACGATTTGTCGCGAGTTTAAGATTGTGAATTCTATTATTTGCTTTAAGTTCTTCAGAGGTGGATCTGATTTCTAGAAATGGCAAACTTAATCCCTTATTTCAGCTCGATATCCATTCAAATGATGTTAGGATTAGCCTTTTAAAGCAATTGTGTGCATAGCAGATCGTTTGTTAGTCTACGGTGTGAATTCCCAAATCAAGTATAAATGTCTTGCAAGCAACAGTTTTAGATTTCCTGTACTTGTACGTCACATATTCGTAAGATTCAATCCACTCTTGTTTGGGGTAAAAAATAGTAAAGTAGGGGTTTTCAGCCGTTTAGTTTAGAAATAGCCACGTGAAAAGTCAATGCACTTCAGGTTTGCGATAAAAAGAAAGCATCCTCCTGCATTTTTTCTAGTGCATAGGGAGCCCCAAATCCAAGTGGTTTTTCTGCAAAGTAGTTCAGCGTGCAAATTTTTGTTTAAAGGGATTTTATTGAATATGCTGCTAAGCAAGCAAGATCCATTTTGCCATCCTGAGGACAAATTTCTCTCGCTTCTGATATATGTTATTTTAACATGGGTTCATTAAAGAGAAACTTAATTAAAAACAAATCGGCGCACTCTGGAAAACCCAGGTAACATTGAAACTGAACACTAAATCCTACAGAAAAGTCGCAATTTACATTATTCGAGAATAAGCTGTAGGTATCTTCACAGGAGAGAAAAATTAACTGCGAAATTACTTCCACCGTGCAATATTGTGAGGTATCTTTGGTCAAATTCATACAGTCTTAGTTTCTCATTCTGCTTATTCATATTTGTTCCTTCATGCTATATGATTATCCAGAAAGAGGAATGAGCCATAAATTTTGTGCCGGTACCTAAAATCTCGTCTTTTCTTTTCATGTTAATTAATATTTATTCCTCTCGCGAATCTAATAACTTAGGCTTATTGTAAAGGCCTTTGCCTTAAAAGAAAGTAACTTTTAAGTAAAGCGCTCTAGCTATTTCTGAAGATCATGAAAATACTGCTTTCAAGGGTGGAAGGACTTATGTTTTCGGTTAGAAATTTGCCGGCGTTGCGGCCATTCAAGTGGTAAGCATGATGTTGAAAACGAAACCTGCTTAAGAAGTGTTAAATCAAATGAAATAGTGTTTTCCATACACTATTGCAGAAAATGTCAAGCCAATAAAGCAAAAATAGAGGTAGTTTAAATATTTGGCAACATTTTCTTTTATACCTCTCAAAATACTTAATCCTAAACCGCTTTTACTCTTTGGATTCTAAATTTCGCAACATTAAGGTAGAAAAATGGAGATAGATCGACAATATAATGAACATTCGCGGTCTTGAATCCTGACACATAGTGATGGAATACCACTATGTAACAAAAATGGTGCGTGCAAATAATTTCTCACTATAAATCTTCTGTGTCAGTACAATATATGATTGTGCAACTCTCTTTATGTTCACGATAGGAAACAGAGTCATCTGAAACAGAGGAAACCCAAACTACCCCAGTATAAGACTAATGAGATTTTGGAATTTCAGCGCTATTTATTATCAGCCAACTTTATTTTATAAGGGAAAGTTGACAAAGAATTGAGAGGAATTAAAATTTATGGGTTCTAATTTTGACCTGAAGAGGAATTTTTTCCATTTTCTGATAAGATGGTATAAACCTTGCGTGATAAGGAATCCAACTTTAGTAAGAGCTGTTAGTGTCTCAGAAAGTACGGCAACAGTGTATGGCTTCTCATGACAATATTTGGTTTTCTCTAGCTCCTGTCAAAGACTTCAAACAAAGCAAATTTTAATGAGCCTCTTGTTTAACTAAAATTCGCAATATATTGCTGTATTGTCTGCTGTATAACATAATGATTGGCAGATTTTTGGCTTAATGGTTGAAACGTTCTTTAATGATTCATTCCAGAAGGTTATTCACACTGATTGTTCATTTTGATTACATAGACACCTCGTTAGAATATGGGAATTAGAAAATTACACGTATGTCGCTATAGAATTTCGTCCTTCGTATCATTACGATACTTTGTTTAACGACCGAAATAACAGTTGGTAATAGAAATAAATAAAATAAAGCTAAATCCACACCTTCTTTGCATTGATTTTTTACAAAGTTCGTTTGGGTGCAATCGCACAGCGGTTCGGACCATGAACCCTGTACACATTTGCCAGAACCGCAGGGGTTTTCCTGTGCGGTGCACATGTTACTAAGTCCCTTTAAGTCGCTTTCACCCAGCCGAACGTAGCCCTTAGCCCAACGTGCGGTCACCTCTAATCCGAGGTCTAAACTCTCTCCATCGACTGAGAGGGCACCCAAACATCCCACAAAATCCTCGCGAAGTCGAGCTGACCACGCCTGCGGTGGCGTCTCGTCCCTCAGTTCTTCTGGTAGACCACCGACGTAAAGGTATCCGTTCAAATTGAGTATCGTGTACCTAAACCATCAAGAGATCAGTCATATAGCTCATTTTAGTGCATATTGGAGATGACCAAAGTAAGAGGATGAAATTACTCATTTTTCTGTTGACTTCGGGTGGACAGTAAGAATTAAAGAAATGAAAATTAAGGTAGCTAGCAACTATGTTTTATTTTATCCATTATGCCTATGTGTATGCTGTTTTATATCTAGTGTCAAGTTTATGGATTAAATTATTTTAGGTATGCGGCTTGCTACATTGTAATGCAAAAGTTGTTTCAGTTCTCTCAATAAAAGCATTTTTCTGGTTAAATTCTACAATGCAGAAAGAAGAGATAAAATTAACTACTTAGCGTCTCAGGGCTTCCACAACTTAGCCATATTAATTACTTTTTACAACAGTAACTTTAAAATGCTACCTAATCAGTCAGACCTTAGCCCTCAATTACCTCGGGCAGAAAAAGTAATTCCACAGTTGGCTACATAAGATGCTGAAACGAACATAATGTATTATGGCTAATGCGTCCTAAAATGTAAATATTTTTCCAATTTGATTTTTTCATCTAAGGTAAACTTTAACAAATATATCTGCATGTGCCCCAAATTAATGCAGTTTTATCAGCACAGTTATGCAGTTATTTTACGTGTAACCTCCATGTTCATTTGAGCCGAAAACGCTCGGACGGCTTTTTATTTCATCCGATCAAACGCCATGAGCAAACCCTTCAAAGTGGATGCCAAACTGATGAAATGAAACATCGGAAGAAGACTTATTGACTGCTGTTGCAAGTAATACTCGATGATAACGTTTACCACTTTGTTGGCTACAAATGAGACATAAACACATGCGATACAAAATCCCGCATCATTACGTTGTTTTTGCATCCTCTGAATTAAATTAAATTCTGCTATATAAACAACTACTCATAATTAACTACAAGTGCCAATGGTAGTGGCTATTTAATATTACGCTTAATTGTACCAAAACTACAGAAACTTCACGAGTAATAAATGTTTGAAATGAGTCAAAGTAGTGTGGCCGACGTAGCTTTGGTAATAAGTTCCGGTAATTCAGAATATATGGTGACTGAAGTTTTACTGTGCGACTGAGTTCATATGAGGAATTCTTGAATTACTTAATAATGAAAATCGCTAGCTCAACTAAGTGAAAATGACCGAGGTCAAAATACCCAATTCTGATGTCTATCGTTGTACTTTAGTAATGGAAGTCGTAGGTAGATTGGTGCCAAAAATTGACTAGGGAATTGCCATAAGCAGTTATACTCTATACATTTCTAAATGGACTTTGAAGGATTGTATTGCGCCCATCGACCATTATTTGTGAACAAAGTCTAATGATAACTTCATATCAGCATTTCACGCATGTTTAGCTGAACTAATGAAGTGATATCCGTGCACAGAAAAATTATTCCGGTAGTACCTTTATGATGCTGATCGGAAGCCGTACTTAAAAAAACCAGGGATTTATTAATTGGGCAAAATTGCATATGGATAAGCCTTACCAATACTACTACGTAAGGATAACTTTGCTATGTAGATTATAAAACAGAGATTCTGTCTAGGTTTTACATGATATTAGAGTAGTTTACCTAAAGGCAGCGCTCTAAAATAGAAGGATTCATGTGAATTAGCGCATTCTTATCGCACGACAATTCCTACGACTGACTCATTATACATACAGCAAAATAATTTCAATGGTATTAAATATAGTTTAATTTATCCTTAACCATAAAGTGCAATTTTCTTCGTTTTGAAGTTAGTTCAAGGTCTCCCAAATACTGATCTTAGCAATAAATGAAATAACAATAACTAATGGCTCGTGTGAAACTTCAAGGATTACCGTACTTTGGCTTCGTTCTTGGGCGCATGCTGAGAGTGTGGCCATCCATGGTCACAGAAAGCGAACCGTTGGTCAGGTGAATTTCCACATAGTGAGTGATGCCATCAGCAACAAACCAACCGCTCCTCCCTTGATCCCCTCGCCAAATATTTTCCGTTGCAAATTCGTTTATTCCTGAGCCTGTGTTGAGCAAAAACACCAAATAACCCTCTCTTAATTCTGCAGAAAATATGTCAGTTCCGGTAAGTCTGTCGATTGGGTTGACAGGATGAAAAGGCTCGTCTCTCGGAAATACATGTTTCTTTTCCGACTTAGGCCACCCAGAAGACGAGAATAGAAGGAGACAATTTGTTTTTAGTGTGCGGATTTTAAAGGTGATATTTCCAGCAGACACTGTCCGCCAGCCCTGCTGGGAGCGCAGGTAACCACCAGGACGCACAAACGTGATCGCTGAATGATGGGACACGGCGTCGCGTTTAGCCTTGCGTGCTACGGTGCACGTCTGAAATGCCGCAGCCTTGCACTTTATCTCACCAATTTCCGTCTCTTGCCTCTGCTTAGTGGAGTTGTCCTTAACCAGATCGATTAGGTCGACGAAATCCTTCCTACTTCGGTAGAAAATCTGAAAGAAAGTATGGCATGCCATCAAACTCTTATTAAAAATTAATTCTTTCAAAATCTTCTGAGACATTACACACAAAGTAAAAGATTGTATTTGCAGATAAGCTTCTGTTGGCATATAAATCACATAAAGTTTTAATAAATAGCAAACTTAATAGGCAATCATTCTTTTTGGCCACATGAAAGCTATGGATATCCGGATGTTTGACATGGCTGGAAAAGGTTATATTGAATTGTTACCCTAACAATTACGTTTACGCCAATGCTTTTAAAGTCACTAAAAATTTAATGCTTATTTTTGCTTCTTTAAAATATTTACCTGTCAGCCATAACTGCTACTCATATCGCCATTCTCATCAGGAAGTACTTACATGTTTGAAGCATCCAATAAAGTTCCGGATGTTTTGTAATTGCAAACGCTCCTGTACTTTGGGAGCTAAGCTGCCAAAATAGAGCGCTTTGAACTGCAAACGAAGTTGGTTTTTTGGAATCTCAAAGGTTTGTCGATCACCGTCAACTTCTGTTTGAATCTACATTCAAAGTAGTGAGGTTTGAAATAGTCCATTAGCACTAAAGTATCAATAAATAAATTCGCGTTTCCTTCGTAACTTCTGATTATGAAAACTGATAAATTTGTCCACCTACTTCAGATTTGATAAATTTATCTACAGTATTAGATCAGTGAATAATTTTATTCAGAGCTCCTGGCTGGGAATAGGCGCTTATTCAGCCCCTCTTTCTATCAAAACAAATTTAGCCCAATTGTCAAGGATGGCATACCCGAAGGGGACTGTAAGAAAATGATAAGTGATGCCAGGTGCCATCAGAACATGTACTGTAGGGAGAATTGCAGTCTTGGCGCTTTTGAATTATGGCATTTTTTTGCAATCTGGGGGACCACAGACGAAAGTGAATTGACCCGTTTAACAGCAGCACAATAAAAGCCTCATTCTTGGCCCCAGAAGACTCTAGAATTGTAAAATGCTTCCGATTACCCAAGAAACTCTATAGTAGCGTCAAAAATCCAAATGGTGACTAACGAAGATTAGGTCCAGAAAATCTTTAACTAGAATTGTTTGTATAGAGAGGACATGAAGTATACAAACGCAAGTATATTTAGATATTTTAATTTTATGCATTTCGATAAACACTTCAATTGCATGGGTGACAGCAATGTATAGCTAACAGAGTTTGAGATTTGCTCAACAAGTTTCTTCGCATTTGGATTGCATATTTCTATGTTTTCTTTGGCTTATTCAGGATAAAATTTAAGAAGATTGGAAATAAAAAGTGTTTTAATTTTTGAAAAATTAAAGACCGCAGAGGTAAGTAGAGACAGTATTGGATCTAACTCACCTGCCAAGACTATTACAGCATTTGATTCCCTGGTTTTGAAGTGAATAAGAACACGTGAGCCATGATTGAATTCATCTATCACCGGAAAAAAATTGAGCCAAGTTTTTTCACCAAAAACAAGATTTGGCCGATCTGGTTCTAAAGGCAGACAAAAAACTGAATGAATAGATGAATAGTTCGTTTTTATAATTTTTTCTAGAATAATTAAAAGTCTACCCATGAGTGTGTCGTCTACATCTTTGCATAGACATCTGCTTATGTGGACAAAAATAAAAACATGCAGAAAGATATATTTCCAACGCGATTTCATCCTGATGCAAACTTATAATCCGGAGTCAAGGGGCATTAAATACTCATGCCCACCAGTGCGTCGTAAAACGCCAGCATTACAATATTTTCAAAAGTGTGTTCCCAAGTTATGGTGGGCTGTTAGCTCGCAAAACCACTTCTCCAATGCGCTGCCGATTGGATGCTGCCTTCTGGCAAGGATTGGCCTTCGTAGAAGGTGTGAGTGGATAGTTAGACTGCTGACTTTGCCCAATCGCGCGCAAAATTTCGCGATAGATAGCTAGAGCTCCTCTTTTATATTTGCCTTATGAAATTTACAGTCAAGAATAATCCTCAAGCTGATTTATCTCCATTCCGCCCCGCATTGTTGTTGATTTATCAGCTTAAAACTTAACATTTTGAACTATGCAAAACGTTATACCCCTTCTCAAAGTTGATTTTAAAGATTTGTAAGATGAGCCATTGCTACAACTTTAAAATTTACTCTTTCTTTAAGAATTTTTTATTGGAGAAAAAATGCTTCTATTTTATATTTAAAAACATAAAAATGGTAACGATTCAACTGGTACAATATGAATGTAAGGCAGGTCTGGCATAGTCCATTAGCGACATCTATTTAACTAGAACATTTTGCATGAATGTAAGTGAATGATGGAAGTCTAAAGCAAAGGGATCTAAAGCCGAATTTTTGTATTTGCCGATATTTCTGTGTTGAAGGAGTATAAATGAAAGGTGCTACCTAGGCAGCCTTTTAAAATATCCTAATAATTTGTAATTGAAAAAGAATTGTCAGAGTAGTATCAACCGGAACCGGCAGATTACGCACCAGCCTCTGCTGCATATTGAGGCACTTAACTCCAATTCATTCTACATTGGACGACTTGAGCTTTTTTTTATTTTTAAAATATGAATTAGATGTAAGGAAGTCATTGCACAGATGCTGCTATTTACAGCAGTTAGTTTTACAATAGGTCATGTAGTTTTGAATAAGTTGCTTACTAATTTTCGATAGTAGAACGTTTTGTGGCGTAAAGCATGGCAGAAAACTTAAACGCTAGTAAATTTAAGTCAAAAAATAACTCGCAGAAATAGTTTTTGATAAAAACCTATGAATAGGATTGAAAGACTTGACCACTCAGTTTGGCTATATAAGTTTTAGATACCTATTCTTAGTTTGACAGTTTACCATCCGGAAATACTCACTCACTGTGTTGGCTTTAATGTAGTAAATGTATACAGGCTCTGGGTGCACTCAGATTTAAATTATTACATGATTTTTCCTCTATTACTGATAATATTATCCCAATACTACCTGGCTTTTGCACGGCTGTAAGCGATGAAATTCTCAATTTGTGAACACTGGATTTTAAAATGTGCGCAGTGGGATTTCATTAGAATTAAAAACGTACTTGAAGCAAAGGACAAAGTACATGGAGCCGTGTATTCAAAGTCACTGCCAGGAGAAAATTTTAAACATTGCACTACGTTGTGTACATGCAAGGGGAGATTTTGTGTTTACCTAGTCTAATAGATAAGGCCCGTTAATTTTCCTTAACGGATGCACTCGCCTCTAAACTGCAAGGTAGGAAAGGATAAATTAAAAGGTCTTAAGAAACGTATTACTTGATGCATTCTTCATGACGAAAATATTTTGCTAGATCTCCTAAGCACAGCAGATTTCAGCTAAGCTGACCATTTCATTGAATGGGGTGGTACATTTAAAAAATACCTGACAACATTAATGGCGAAAAATAAATGACATTATCAAGAGCATTCATCAAAGGATGAATGTTAATTCTCATAAATGAAACAATTTCAACTAGCAGTACAATGATGCTTAAGTCACTCTACCTTGTCTCAGGACCAAGATTGCTTTATATTTCTAAATTTAAAAGTTCCAGTTAATGCTAGTATAAAGCTACGCCAATTTAATATTTGTTCTAAGGTGTGAAACTTAATTTTTAATAGCAAGCGCAATTTTTGACAATGAATGTGAACGGTAAGTCAGCAGCATCTATTTTTAACAGCTTTAATGTTCCAAAATAATAAATGTGAAAATTATGGCAGTTTTTGGCTTCAAAGACGCTCCAAGTAACTTTACTGCTTTTTATAATAAGGTTTCGAGCGGGAAGCTACAGCTGCCTCCATTTATCTGAAAGAAACTTGGAGCATTCCTGGTACAGTTTTATAAAGAATCTCTCCAAAGGCATTGGCCAATTCTTTGGTATTTTTACTTTGAGCTACGTAATATTCTATACTATGTCAAAGACAAAAGTTCAAAATAATTCTCAAAAATGCTTCTTTATTTGGTATACAAATCTAATTTTTACTTAGATTGTGTGCATGAGGGCAAAATACTTATGTTAATATTTTAACTTTAGGTTTTGCTTCATTGTTCCTAAGAAGTAGGTTTTTTAACTACAATTATCTTTATCCTAAGATAGTAATATCTGCCATTAAAGTGAACAGTCTGCTTTGATCACCTCTGTACTGCCCACACAAGAGCCAATTTTGGGGTCTTTGCGGAAAAACAAGAGTAATTCTCAATAATTTGTAGGGTTTTGCAAAGAAGCGCTGAGTCATTGACCCTACCTTAAATAATGTATTCAAAACATCTACTACTGTTTAGCCTGTAATTCATCCCGAGCTGTGAAAAGCCTTTTTTTCAAGTACGTGCCATAAAAAACACTGCCTAACATGACTAAAAGCATATATCTTTCACCTTAATGTAAAACTAAATCACCTTATTTTTTTGTTTCCGTACCCTCTTCATGAAGCCTATTTAAAATTCAAACATTGAATGCTTAAAGTTTAATTGTGAATGAGTTGAATGCATCAACTAATAAATGAATAAATTTACGATGCTCCATATAAGTATTTCAGTTATTTCACTCACATGGCCTGCTCAATGATGGAATAAGAATGCGGTTAGGGTATTCAAGGGCATTTGGATTCACTGAGACAAAAAATGTGTCAAGATTTCAAAATACATAGCAATAATACTGCAAGATACATCAAATCGTGGTGGTAGAAAATGACCCAATGCAAAAAATGTCCCCTTCATGAATTCGCGTATCAGTCTGGCACACTAGAAACAAAAAGCTACTACTTTCATTAATTAAAAGGACATTTAGTAAGTATCTCTATTTAACTGTTCTAGAGCCTAGGTCTTCGCTATGTAACTTACAGGTGGGACCAAGCAGTATATTTCCGTGACCAAATTGTTTGCAAAAGTTAACTAAGGGATCATTAAAAAGGAAACGGTCTAGTAATTCCTGGCCAAACTTACAATTCCGAAAGCGAAGCATAAATTTTTTAGGAAGTCGAGTCACGAAACGAAGTTGAATTAACAGAAAATTTTACTGGGAGTACAGAACTTGTCCATCTTATACCTGGGTCAAAAGCCGGCAAAATAGTTGCTTCAATATATACCTTAGAAATTTGTCCTATACATTTTTTGAGTGGGAATATTTTTTTTAAAATGGCCATACATTAGGTAGCAACATTTGCTGCGAATTTTCTTAAATCTTTTTAAAAAGATGGACAGTCAAGGATTTTTAGACTAAGAGCTGGTACTTACAAAAGAACAAGTCTTAATTTCTATCAGGATAAGAAAACAACGCATGGCTTTCAAGTGAAGCTGCACACTTTCCAAAATTCTTTAGAAATGCAAGCAACTTGTTCTTTTTAAGTAAACGTCTGTGTGAGAAAGACGTATTTAATTACATAGACGCACAATTTATCATAATTTGGATACAGCATATGTTTAATGCCACTTAATGCAACTTGAATGCTTTAAAGTTTGTTGTAATTCCAAAAAATTTTAAACGATCTAGACTATACCTTTCCACTTTGAGTGATAGTAAATACCAGCTTCTCTCAGAGACGCAATAAATGACATTAATAACCAAAAAATACTGTTTTGGATGTTACCTAAACCTAAGTCGTTTTACACTAAGTTATCCATGCAAATAGATAGAACAAAACATGCTCTTTTGATGTCAAAGTCCTTTTAATGTTGGTCTCACTACCCAAGGTTCTAAAAAGTCTTCAAATATATGCGTATTTTTACTTATCAGCCATAAATAAACAATGTTAATAATCTCTGTTTGGTTGTTCCCTTTGAGTTGAACATATCCATGGAAAGGTTGAACAGTTATTTAAATTTTTTCGTGGACCATAGTTATGAAGAAGTCCTTGATAGAAGTATTGTAAGTCCTTAGTCTCTTTGATCAAAAGTCTTTAGGTGAGTGAGCATGCAGAAATCGACCAAGCTGATAGTATCATCATTATCACTTAATCTTGGAACACACTTAAATTATTGTGTGTTATCAAATAATCGCGCAAAATTGGTTTATTTTTAAACTACTAGGTATCAGTCAAAAACTTTATACTTTCAGAAGTTTTTTTATCCTACTTACACGGTAGGCAATCTGGAGAGTCTAGAAAACACTTGAAAAAGTCTAAAAACAAATTTTAGACTAAAGGGTTAACTTGATTTGTAGTTCTTTCCAGCTTCAACTCTCTCCTTCTTAAGCAATCAGTTTGATTGGCAAATTTTCTAGGGAAAATCTTTATAAAATATACTTAATGAAAGTCGTAAAATAAAGGCAAATTCCTTTTTTGGAATTTTGTTCGTGATTTACATGGGAAGGCTAATTTAGAGGACATAAGAGTCTGTCTTACATTTCAAAGCAAATGGAAATTGCAGTCTTATAAGGTCAAACCAATTCCTGACATTTAGCCGATTTTTTAAAATCAGTCTCACCTATGGGCGTAGGCAAATGATTGCTTAAATCGGCTAGAAAGTATGAAAACTATTTCAAGAATCTTAATTAGCCCATCTTGCCTATATTTGGATCTACAGAAACCGGTATCGTCAATCTGTGTGTACCTGTACTACTATCCGAAATTCAAATGAAATCCCTACTGCTTGGTTATTAATCGTCAGGTACCAAATTTGCCTATTTCACTTTCCACTTTTCATGAGAATTTGAAAATCACAACACTTGGAAACTGCAGACAAGTAGTTCGCGCAATCTCTGGTATGAGTGAATGTATTCATGGGGACGATTTGCAGAGAAAATGCTTAAACAGCTTTTATGCAGGAGTACATTTACGGAATATTTTTCCTTTCATAAGAGGCAAGGTATTCTCCGAGAATATAAATAGAATTGTCCGGAGAATAGACATTTAAAGCTCTCAACCAGAGAAAATACTTCTAAAGAAATATTTAAGATTAAAGGAAAGAGAATTTTATTTAACTTTTACTTGAAATTGCATTTATTTAGCAGTTTGTTAGTTCTTGACTTATTGCAGTGCAAGATCAACTCATCATGTTCTGTTAGCAATATATGATGCAAATTACTTCTGTGCTGTTTATTTGTTTTGTTTCGTTTATTATTCTATTTACCTTGTTCACTTAGCTACCCATATTAATAAAAAATTTGTAACTTTTTATTAAAGTAGTGCCCAACAATGTCAGTGTCCTCAGAGGAACTTTAACTGAATTTTGAGTTACTAGTTCCATATGCGACTGGCCAATTCTGCGAAGAAACCGAATTATGCGGAGACATAAACGGAATGCTTTCACGAAAGCTTCTGATTTGTGATCCGGTAATTGCAATTTTCCAGCAAAATTAATTAGATATTATTCCACAGGAGTAGCTTTAGTCTTGATTAAGGTAAAGGAAATAATAAAAACGGGAATTTGAATACATTTGCTAAGATATTGGCAGTTAAAAATGCAGCCTTTCTTCTTAGGTAACAAGCAAAGAGCTGGAGTAACTTTTTTGCCAAATGGAAAGTGACCCGAGTGTGCCATCTTGCTGACAGCCCTCCACCTAGTTTTTTTGTACTATTATAAAGGCTAATAAAAATTCCTTTTCGACTTATGCCACACGGTAAGGAAAGGTCAACAAAAGAGACTGGGTATACATTTTACCAAATAATGTCTTAAAGAAAAGGGAAAAAGCAAGGAAAAAGCAGTTTTAGAATTGCAAATTTAAGTAACTTTGATACTACAGCTTTTTTAGTGGGGTCGACTGCCTCCGTATTCACTATCGCACCCATGTAAAGTATCTTCTCAGCATAGATTTCCAAATCAAATCATTTAAATTTACAACTACAAGTTGTCTTAAATTTCATACGAGTTAATGCCTAGGCACGTGGAATTCTAATGGGTTTTAGTAGTATGTAAACTCCTTTAAAATGACTTTGCATTATTAAACGACGTAGATGGGAGAATTTGAGTAGAGAGCACATTTGTTAAACTAAGAGTTTGAAGTTGCAAGAAACCGATGTCTCAAGATAAATTATTAAGTAAAATTAGCATCATTAACATAGCCAACGCCTATCTAACCAAGTTATTTCGTTAACTCCATTTGACTTTGTGGGGCGGATGGGGATAATATTCTTGAAATGCAGTAGTTTTGCGTTTTGAAAATCATCAATAACTTTTCTTTCTTCAAAGCTTACATGTGCATGCACTTTTAAGTTTTCCAATTGGATCAACTTATTCAATTTTCCCATTTAATTCGTCAAATATTTCCTGCAGATTTGCCCCAAAATATTTCGTGCACGGAGAAATAAACTTATTTAAGCTTCAGAAACGCCACTTTTCCTATGAGCGTACCAATCTTTATTCTCGTTAAAACTGTCATCCACTAACTCTCTCCGGCTTGGCTACATTAAGAAGAACTTTAGCAAACGGAATATTTGAAAAAAAGTTGTTCATTGCAATCAATTCTGCAACGATGAACTATAGGAATTTCTACGATACATTTTGGAACAGGAAGTTTAAAATTGGAAAATTAATCAAATTCTGTTGCAGTAATTGAAAAGAGTTCATTTCCTTCTACAAGCGTATTCAGATTTGAATCGTTGGATATATTAAATATTGCCTACAATAATTTACCTAGCATTTGTTACTTCATCACTTTCTTGCGTACAGATAAGACAAATAGTTAATTTTTCGTTCATGTTGACTCACAATGTCTGATTCTATTAATAACCTAACTTATAAAATGCCCTTTCGGTGTGTAAATCTGCAGGAAATTTAAAAGATCCTAATGAGTTATGAGTACTTAAACTAATTATTTAAACTAACCTTAATTAGGTATCGAGTTAAGGGGAAAGTAATAACTGAGTGCTAAAGGATCGTTGCTGAATCGTGTCCGTAAAAACAAAGACAGATTAAGTTTATTCCAATGCGTACCCTCCATGCAAGTACGGCAGTAGCTGAATGGCCAAATGTGTACGGGCTGCGAAGTCATATATTTGTTGTATGGGTCCAAGCGGTGGAGCAAATTTTTTCAAGAAACTTTCATGAGGCACGAAGCTAGGAGTTTCTAATAGCTTTTCTTGGGAACATAAGACTAACCTTTCAAGTCCGACTACAAAAACTTCACGAATGACTGATTTACTGCAAGATAAAAGTTTGGTTTTTCAGAATATAATATGCTAGCATTTGAATTAGCGTGATGTGGGCGTTTGAAATGCGTAACACTTTGCGTTAATAAATAGTGCAGCATGGGTTGAAGACAGTTGGCATTTAGAACACACACTGATTATTGTAAAAATGTAGATGGTAGAGTGGAAATGAGTAACTTCCAGTAAATGAAGAGTTGTTATAATGAAACGATCTTTAGAGACTAAATAATACACATTCAGCGTTATTTTACAGAACGCTCTTAAATGGAAAAGTCTCTTAACTATTGCCATTGTGGCGACTTAGTAGTTCAAACGCATTTTGGCTCAGAAGTAGACTACGAACTCAGTTGAGACACCTTGGTTATGTGCTAATAAATAATTTACTTCTCTTTTGATTGTTACATATATTTTTTTAATCACGCAATTCGAATTATTTGGCAACCTAATAATAAGATCAACTGTTACTAAAAGGAGCCGTCGCTTAGAGCTGTGAAATATTTTATAGCTCGCCACTGCTAAATCACGAGTTTATTTAAAGAGGGTTGCACTTTTATAGCATGGCAATTAACAACGGTTACTTGGGTTTTGACAGTTGTATGAGGTTATCAATATTAAGGCATTTTATATCAATGCTAAACATAGTACACATGTACCAAATTTCGTTTTGACCAAATCAGTCCTTAGATTTTATTATAGCTTGATACAGCAAATAAATGATGATTACAAGTTTATTTTTCAGATTGGCTACAGCGATTTTGCAAATACCAATTTTAGTTGCATTTTTGCTTTTTTACTAAGAAATGAATGCTTTTTTCTCTTCTTGTTTGCACACATTGCCATTCCTCCTCTTTTAATAGTAGAATGTTGCAGCATTTGCTTTAGAGTTTGAAAAGTCTAATTACCATTTATAAGCATAAGGATTTAAAGTATTTAAGATGTTTGAGGAATTTAATGATCGTGATGCATTAGAGTTCTTAACATTCAACTATTTAAATAAGCATTTACTTAATTTATCACTTAACAAATGGACATAATTGGAGAATCCTGCTGCCTCAGTTCTTCGAAATCACTGCACACACTTGTAACTCTTTCATGCTACCTGTTGAATTCATATTACTTACTAAGGTATTATCATCATCGTCAGTTTTCGTATTTTGTTTATAAAGCAAACCCCTTTAGGACAAAAAGATCATTCGTCATAAATTCATAAAATTTAACCGCCTTAAATGTACCCGATTGCAAAAAAAGGGACGGGATAAAATTTTGGCTTTACTTTAGTTTGTTCCATAACCCTCTGAGCCGCGATAATTTTATTTAAGCGTAGGTGAGTTTTTAGAGGACCACTGCAGTCAGCTGCCCCCTTTCCATGCCTTTAAATTAAATTAAATTTCATTTAATTACTAGTGCTGTTGAACACTAGGTTAAACCAGAACTACATTCAAATTCACAACAAAACACTTTTCATCAAATTATTTTAAAATGTGTCTGTATCAAGAAAGAATTCAAACTGTCGACTTGTTGTCAAAAAGGAATATCCTAGTATTTTGCATTATACTATAATATTAAAATCCATTACTGCATGATATAATACACCACTTTGCCAGTTTTCCTTCCAGATTTACTCTGACATAGTCTGTACACTTTGCCATCATTTGCTATAAATAAAAGGTTTTAAAGTGGTTAACATTAAAAATGCAAGGATTTGAGTGTAAAATAAGAGGATTTGAGATGGACGCCTTACGGAATTGACAAATGCCTAGTTCTCGACTGTTCTTATTACATCCACATTTAGGACCATCGAGTCCGTCTAGGCAGCTTAAGTTTTGTGGGCACAACCAGTGGCTGTCGCCACCTCTAGCAACTTCTCGACTCAGCAGATGACAATGGGATAATCCAGGAGCGATTTCGGCCCCATTAAGAGCTTTCAGCGGTAGAGGTGCTCTGCCATTTACAAATATACTCTTTATGTTGCCCACAAATGCAAACTCCATTACAGCCGTAAAGTGAACTACTTTGCTTGCGTCAGCTAGCAGATTGGGTGGCAAACGGCCCACGTGCAGGTATCCACCAAAGGAGTATCTGGCAGTGTTGGCAGCAACATCTTCAATATGAGTAGGGTATGCATTCTTGCCATCGACAAATAGTATGACCACTTTTTCCCTTAAAGAAATTCTCAGATCAGCGCTATGCCATTGATCAGCTGTCCGATCTAGAGGAGCACTGAGGATAACGAATTGATGACTTCGATTAGTAGCAGTCAATTTCATTTCAAATCTCAGTGTACCAGGACGATTTATTTTAAGTGAGATAAAGGTCCCCATCGTGGCGTTCTCCGCATAAAGCAATCTGCCCTGCAGGGAATGTCCGCTAAATTCGATAAAGAGGGAGGTTTCGGAGATGAGCGAAACACTAGCATATTCCACGGTTGATTTAGCATCCTTCAGAACAACTGCAGGTCCACCGTATTTCAAGGCACCAGCCACTACACAGAGAAGACTGAAGTGTAATGCTATTATATACATTGATTAGAACAATCTGACATATTTGGGAAGATTGAATGTTGAATATCCCTTGGCAAAGGTAGTGTTCCAACAAGGAATTGCTATGCGGAATGGTAACCACGCCGAACAATATTTAGTCCAGTTGACCAATTAGAATGATGCACGTTCAGAATTGGCCACTATGGGATAACCGCGGCCTTGGTCTAGTCTTGTGCTTGGACTGAAGTAGCATAAATTACATTGAAGTAGGTGGAACTTATTATCATTTGATTAAGCAAAAAAAACTGTAATAGGTACAGGTATGAATCGGTATTTTACACTAATGCAACCTCGAACTAGTTGAAATCAAAAAATACTACAGGTTGCGTTATTTATTATTCCGAAAAGTGTAAAACTTAACATCCTTTTAAAAATTTCGATAAGGAAATAACTTTAGGGGAGACAATGTTAAAGTTGCGTCCCTTTAAAGGTCAATATATTTCATCGCAAACAAAAAAATGGTTAAGCTGTTTCTTCCCGAGGGTGGTGAGTGAAAATAAGTTGCATATTGGAATATAAACTTGTATTTTGTGCTAACGAGAAGAAAATTTTATTATCTATTGCCTTTTTGCTCCTTGCTATTCTTAGAAATTCATGTTACTGTAAAACACTAGAATCCTTAGCATTTTTCTGAATTGAAGGGGCCAATTTTCTAAAAAAAGCAGGTTTTTTTAGACCGACTCCAAAATGGAAATACGTGATTGTACAAGAGAAATGATGCAAAAAGCATGTATAACAAAATTGTAGCACTAGAATGCAAGTCTCAAAATTTCAATGCAGTTCCTTTTCGGAAATTTGCAATAATAGATGTTTATTTTCCCACAAAAAAATCTAAAATTTGTTAATATTAGGTAAATAACGCAAAAACAAGTTTTAGTGCTAATATACTGAATAATTTGGTAGAAAATCTAGTGAATCATCAAAGTACAAATCAAATGTGGGTAGATATAAAATCTGAGTTTTTTGACATGATTGGTAGGCTGTCATAAATCTCATTCATGCAACTAGCTTGGGATTTTTAAATCGAAAAGACGCCGACTTAGGTGGTTCTGAAATACATTTCATATTCGTTACTAAATCTAGTATAAAATATAACAAAAGTAAGTAAAGGGCTGCAGCAAAAGATGGCTTGAAAACCGACGTTTCGGATAACTTAACAAAAAATGTAGTTACGCCTACTTTTGGATTAGTAAAATGCTGTTTTGTTGTATGTTTGCTAGTAATATTATTGCATTTCTAGCTGTTGATTTCTAAATAGAATTTACGTCTCTCGGTGGCTGGTGTAATGACCTCAATTCCCGAAAAATTCAAAGAATTTCATTTTCACAACTTTACTTTACGTGAAGAGAGTAACTGCGCCACAAAAATCAAGAAATGCTGGGCGTTTCCGCAAGTATCTTTGAAGTGAAAGAGAGTACACCTGCCATCCCATGAATACAGTATCGCAGTGTAAGAATTTATTGTCGTAACAAATTTGCAGGTAAATCGTACCATTTATGCCATTTGTTCAATTAAAAAGGCTTTATTATAAGCTTTTGGAAAAATGGTTGCATTTCTTTAAGAAGAAGTATGTGTTTTCGCAGAATACCATTTCGCACCGAAACAAGAGGCACAGGTGTAGGGCAGGATGATAGGATAGACGTTACTATAGCTACCACTAACAAAGTAAAACATGAAGTAGAAGGAATTAACATACCACATAGATTCTAGCTTCCGCTTTTGTTCCCGCAATTGGGCGGGTCTCTAAGTCAAAATTTCTGGGAGAGTAAAAGCTAACGTAGGACATTAATCTCAGTCTCACTTCTTCAAGAGTGTATTACATTAGACATACTAAACCATGAAATCTTAAGATACTACCGTAATCATTAAAAAATGCAAATGATCCACTCATCTAAATTCAGGACGAGAACAAATTTAAAAGGCAATAGAATTGACTGTAGCTCAGTCCACAGTACAAGGCCTTTAAATCGCCTCAAATAATTCGACTTGAAGCAACGTCAATTGCATAACTGAGAAGTCAGATGCATATCCTAGGTAGTGTTAGTCAATTTTTTGCTAATCAGCAAATTCACCTAATTACACAGCAAACGTTCTTCGTAATTTATTCCATTCATGTAACTTTCCACGCTAACGTATCTTTGAAACCTAAATTATTACTCGAACATGTAAAGACTTGTTTTGAACTTCGCTAAAGTGGCTTTGTAACTGGTCTAAGCACAAATTAACTTCGGAACGGCAGAAAATGGATAAAACTGCCCCCATATATTGCACATATTCGTGTGACACGCTTCGCTATACTTTAAACCCACCGCTAAATGTAAATACTTTTCAGACATGAACAAATACTGACCGAATTATGACTCGTAGACCATCTTTATAAGGTAACTGCTATTATACTTCTGACGTGTTCCTTAAAATAACACAAATGGCTCCTCACTGACAAGTTTCATAAGTATTTATGAAATTCAGCTCTGTCAGCAGACTACAAAATCGCCTTGCTGAATATTAGTAAAAGGAAAATGAGAGGTCTGCTAAAGTATTAGCACACCTCGTCTTTTTGAACTTTTAATTACCGTTTAGAAACTATTAGGCTTGCCAAGATTTGACTTCAAGACACACTTAAGGGTGCTAGCTATAGCTCAAATGTCATAAAAGCAATCAAACGTCAGGATTCCTGTAGCATATCACCGCAATGTGATAAATGTCAACAAATTCAAACTTCATGGTCTCACAGGTGATTTGAGAATCATTATGCATTAAATACTCCATTACCATTTCATAAAGTTGAGTGAACTTTCTTTGAATATTTGACTATTTCTTTGATTTCCTTAGTCTTTTTATACGTAGTATTACACAAGGCTCTTTTGTATGGACTTAATCACTTTATGGAAAAAAACCTAGAAAAGTAAGCCACTCAAAGTCATTTCTTCGATAATTATTTAAAATCAAAGGGATGAAGGTGTACTTTTTAGCAAGAAACATATATAATGATAAAAGCGTAGGTAAAGGTTTTGGCCGTTCCCAAACCAAAAGCATCAGGCTCATCATTTATTTCAAAGCCCACTTAAACAATCCACAAGTGTATTTTCATTCCCTTTCTTAACAGTTTAGTAAATGCAAATCCAATTTTGATTTTCAATGGCCAAATTTTTTAAGGAATTTAGCCATTTGGCGGCCAACTGAAGCATAGCATGAATACTCACGCTTCCGACTAACCGAATTGTTTTTCGGCTTGCAAGTGTAGCGAAGGGGGTGGAGGAGAAATGAAATCAACTACTGAATAATAAGAAGCGCAATCCCTTTTTCAATGCTACAAATCTTTATTGCTGTTTTTTGAATTGTTTTTAATGGACGCCTAGGTGATTTGACTAAGAATTCTATAGATTTCAAGTATCAGTCTTCTTCTGATTTGCATTCTTTCATACTATTTATGTTTGAGTTTAGACCGACGTAATAATGCACAAGTAACACCATTCCTAGTTGATTTCGGTAAGTTCACTAGGTTCTATTATATCGAAGCGCCTTTCTGCTTCTTTTCTTTGGTAATCGCTCGGCCTCTAGATTTTGTACCACAGCCAAAGCAAATCAAGCTCAAAACCAATGCATTTTAGTCATTTACGCCTAGTGAGCAAAAAGCACACTAATCAAAGAATTGGCAAAAGCCTGAATTCAAGTTAATGTGGTTGCTTCCGAATCGGCCCAATCTACAAGTAATGCATGTATCGAAAAGGATTTTCAATATTCTTTTCAAGTCAAGCATATTTATATAAATTATCAATGCTTACCACCGATTTTTAAATTCTATTTACTGACTTCTCAGTCGTGTAGCTCAATTTCTATGGCAGTCTGTGCACTGTTCACCTTAACGAAACTCCTTCCTTTCAGTTTGAAGCCAATGAATCATAATGTCTAAAGGATTTTTAAATGAACATAAGTGCAGGTTCTTCATGTCTTGCTCACAAGTGGAAAAACTATAACCAGATTAATAATAGATTAATTGCAATCATCACTGCCATCCACAAATCCATTTAACGTCATAAAAAGTCGGCGTATCGTCTACAGTATATAAACCCATTCGGTCAAATGATCTTAGAAAGGATTATCGTCTCTTTAAGTCTGCAAATCTAGCAAACGTAAGTCACATCATACCCGTGGGAGCATCGCAGAATTACAACAAAGTTTTACCAAATTAAAGGGCCATCTGATAAAAAATAATTTTGAGCTGTCATGAAAAAACACCTAGAATTGCGACGACAAATCAGGCGGCATTAATCACAAGATGCTAAAAACTAGGAGCAAAAGGGAAGTAGATTTAAAAATCTTGAATTTAAAAAACTGCCATTAAAATGAAAAGTTTTACTTCATTAAATTTTTGTTACATAAGTGGTTAAAACTGCGCAGTTTTGCAAAATAGAGTGCTTGGTAAAATATGAATAAATTTGACTTGATACACTATGCAATCAGCCCTCGTAATGCCGAACGAAAGGGTTAAAAATAACCGTTTAAAAACTGTTTTTAAGTATTATTTTGCGTAGTTTTGATATTTCGGCTGCCTACTTAATTACAGGGCACAAAGGTCTATAAAACAACAAACCTACAATTTGACTGTCGATGTGGAAATTCGTCGTTATATACCCATTATTTTTAATATCAATTCTACTCTAACTTGACTTTGAGAAGTTAACTCAGATGCTCTGCCTTCATGCCCCCTTTAGTTCATCTTTCAGTCACTATCTGTAACTGTGAATTTATCTACAGTCAAAGCCACCTTCGTGAAACCTTTTGATTGACTATACTTATTTTACTTTAAGTACATCCACATTGAGTTAATCAAAATTAAACGTCCTGATAATATAGCAAATACTACAATGCTAGACACACAAAATCATAGCAAATGGCTGAAAAGATATTTCAGCAATATTTTTAACAATTAGTGACATTTTAACTCCCAGATGTCAAAGATCTTAGTCAGTTATTTCGTCTATCAGGCTTAGAAATCTTCCTTGACAGTGACTCGGCATGACCCCATGGTTATTGTATACCCAACACTTAGCCGTGCATATTATGCCACCACCAACGCGTTGTGAGGTATTTCGCAACAATCACCAAAGCAACATTGCTACGCGGTATTAACAAAGGTCTCATGCCTCGCACAATCCACCCTTATGGTGATTTGATCATTTGTTTTTGTCATTCTTTCCTCCCTTTGCAATGTTTTGGGTCGACATAATGTGGGAATGCGAGAGCGAGGTTTTCGCCTTCACGAAGTCGATACATTTAGCTTTTGGCTTATTGTTATGGAGAACGGAGTGCAAGGCTGTCCTTTTAGTACATCCTAAAGTACACCGATTAATTTGTAGGTGGTGACGTTGGCCACTCATCTTAAGTACTAATTCCAACATTAATTTCGAGCACACAGATGATAGTTGATAATTATAAAAGAAATTTTAAAGACCCTACAAGATAACTGTCTCTGTCCCCTCCTTTTTACTATTTGCCCATACACATTTAATAATCGTCACTTAATACACACCATTCCTCCAGCTCTTACCTTTAAACTAAAAAACTTAGTCTGCATCATTCGTTTTAATTGTTGGTCACCATAGCAAAAGTACAGTACCTCAGCAAAAAACCAGATATTATGATTGCGCCAATATTTAATAATTAATAGGGAAAAGATATTAAAATTCAAGGGAACTTGAGGACTTGTGTCAAATGCCAAAACGTAGCTAAAACTGTGTAAATAGCCTTAAAATTACTTTCATCTCATAAATGGTTAATATACAATAAATGAGAGCGACGTGTCGGATGCAAGGTTGAGTGATACCACAATTTGCATCTATTGTTAAGTAGTCCGTGTGTGCACATGAGTAAATACATCACATGCGATTATTTTTAGCATAACGTTTTTATTATGGGTAATAAAGTGTTAAATGGTGGATGCTTGTACTTACAGTGGTCATAAGATCTTAAGATACCTATTTTAATTAGCGTTTACTTTTTCCACAATTATAGACGACATATGAACGAATTTAGGGGATGAATGGTATCAAAATGATGTTATCGTAAACAGCATTATGCATACCGTAATTATAAACGCTGAATGTTGTTTTAACGCTTATTTTTAGTTGTTTCACGTCTTAATTAAATGATATATATTTTCAACCACAATCGTGCCAAACACATTAAAAGCATGAGAAGTTGCAGAGGCAGTATCAGGCATTGCACACTTCAGTCTTTTCTGTCAATTCATTTAAAATGGATTCCAAAAGACATCCTATCAATCACTCTAGTGCGTTTTTGGAATCTAATATGATTCCGGGCACGCAAAGAGCCATGTTGCGGGAGCTCGACCTTTGATCTTATCGTTAACACAGGGAGCTAGATATAGAGCAGACGGGAGATAAAAATATTTACTGGACAATGATCAGTATTGTGCGCGAAAGAGAGCGTGAGAGCGCGAGAGTGGGAATTGTCCAGAGCGAAAAAAACCGTATATACTGATTAATTAGTCAGCAAACCTAATCATTTGGTGTTGTTAGGGTAGCACAGCATAATACTTATCATTGGATGTGCCGTTCCCAAATAAAAAGGCGATTACTAAGACGATTTAAAAGGCCATGATTTAAGGCCTTCACATAAAGTCTGCTTTAATTTCTGTGTTAATCGGCATGCGAGTGGTGATGGTTGTTTATTATAGTTGCTTATCTATTTAGTCCTTTTCTAGTTCAAGATGCACTTACTGTTTTGATACCTTGATTGCTTTCTGTCGTAAAATCAAATCAATGAAATTCATATCACTCTAATGATGTACTTAGTCTTGATTAAGTCAATGCATCCGTATACTTAGTTTTAAAACATTTGATTTGCCTTCAAAAAAACCTTAGACTTTGTTTTAAATTTGTGCATTTTTGTAACGTTATTAACTACTTATCTAACTCGGCTAACTCTAATTTTCAATGCTAACATTGCAAGGCAAAATTACCAAAGATTAAAACAGAATAACCTGCATTGCTGCAGCAAAAAATAGCTTGGATTTACGGATCATTGCACAGGTGAGAGTGAATGGATAGACAATCACACCAGTTAATTCAACCATCCGACTGTTGTGCTACAAAGAATTTTATTTACATCTCCCGTCGTAAAATCAGTTTTCACGCCTCTTTCTCAATCACAGCATCTGTGTTTACTTGGAGTAAATAATCGCCCTAATATTTCATATCAATCTTTGCATCCTTCACCTACACCACCAATTTATCACTAAGCAAATAAACCGCTAATATGAATGAGAATTACGCCACGGCATTGTGATCAAGTGCATTTCATTTGCTTAAAGATGAATATTTACACCAATTAATTGCCTTTTAGATAATCTTCGGCTTTTTTAAGCCATGTGCATGTGCGGACTTTTGCATGCTGATGAATTTTAAACAACCAAAACAATGTCAATTTATTTTCTGTCGTCCCAATTTAGACCGAGTCTAATGGCTAATTGTCTATTCCCTGTTAAGCAAAGAGGGTTGATCTAGACTGAGCAATCTTAACACGCTAGTTTATAGGTATTTATAATTATATGCCAAATTTAATCTGGTGATCTATTATCCATAATATCATGCCGTAGCACCGTCTTTTACTTAAATGACATTTATATATGATCACGTAATAGTATTGGCAGCCAAAGCATCCGTCCCCTACTTACATAAAACTGACCACAACATCAAGGACTTTATGGCATTAAATAACGTAAATAACATACAACGCTTTCTAATTTTGTACATAACACTTTCAAATTATTCCCTATTTTTCACTTCCATTAGCAATTCTTGCTGCTGATACTAGCACACTGCTTTAGCGGTTAAACATCATAAGGAAACAAAAACAATTTTCGTATCTCTAAAGATCCACTTTTGTGGTCGCCTGTTTTAAAAAACGTGGAAATGAATTAGTGCTTTAAAATTGGTCAAGATTGCAGAACACAAGCACTTTCTTTTTACTGGAGTATTTCGGAGGCTAAATGCTACCGGTTGCTATCGCATAGATTACTGTATTGTTTAGATAGATTTAAGATTCTAGTTGGTACCAAGTTTGGAAATGTGGACTTCTAATGCTAACAAAATTACACAACAATACCGCAAATAAAGCTCTATCATCAGTCACCCCCACTGCCACATTGAAAAGAGTGACTCGTAATACCTTGTTAGGGTATGAGTATGTTTATAATCCTTACAAACACAGATTTAAACAATACACAATCGTACTTAAAGTAAATTGGAAATATTTTAGGACAGATTCGCAACCTATTTGATGGTTTGAATCTGTTGCTTCTGTTAAATCGGGATTTTAATCAAAATGCGTTTATTTATGAAATTCTTTGCTTTGTGAATGTAAACATCATAATTTAGACATTTTGCGTGACATCATCTTTTTAGTGTAGTGTGCTAGTAAAATCATCAGTAAATTACCCGAAAATTAATTGTTGTGTAAACCTTAAACCAAATCGTTTTGTGCATGCAAAATTGACTTTCGTGTGGTTTAAAATCGGCAAGAGGTAGATATCTGAGGAATGGCTAAAAATAACATCAGAAATTTTAGTTTATCTTAAAATTGCCTATTAAGAGCAACTTATAATCTTAAACTGGGCTCCCTTAGCTAATGATATGCCAAAAGTGAATTTCTGTCGAGGTAAGCCAATTGCAATCTTAACCAGTTATTGATAGCTCCTTCAACTCGCATTGTAAGTCCATTGCTTTTAATCTCCCCAAAGTAATAAAATTATATTCGAATAAATAGTCTGTCTTATTCCATGTTTTGGAAAATACAAGTGTGCATGAGCGCAACACGATCATTTCAAAAACAACTTGATGTATGATCTTGTTTTATCCGCCAAATCCCAGAAATATCTGTTCTTTGAAGGTGTATGAGCCCCAAAACAAGGCTGACCCGAAGAAACTGTAAAAAGGTGAGCCTCGAGTTCGCCACTTGATTAATGATTGACTTGCACGTAGTCGGACTTTTCCTGGGTTTTCTCTTAACATATTCCTCCACATCGCTTACGTAGCTGCAATCAGTACTGCTGCGTGAAATATGATTTACCACTTGCACTTTCTATAGCAAAATATACCACTCTTAAGATGGTTGAAGTCAGCTATAAAAATTGTAGAATTTCCTTTCGCATTTAAAAAGTAAGAACTTGCATTAATTTATTAACACGACGAATTCTGTGGAACACCAGCAAAGTAAAGCAATTGTTTTAATCTTTAATGCTTACAATTGTTTGCTGAATCATTGCCTTTTATTGTCTAACATGACAAAATGTGCTGCATCATGCAGCTGTCTAAGCACCATCGTCGCAAGCTTGCGATTAACTAGATACAGAATCAACAAGTTCACACATTAGGAGTGAACGGACCAATGACCACAAAAGAATTCGTGATGACCGGAAGCGAGTGAAGGTATAATCATTGCTACTTCAAACAGAACCTATTTCGAAAATTGGTGGCATACACTTCCGGAGGGCGCTGATAGCATGGCCAATTTCATGGCTGACGTGTCATTTTGAATCAGTGGTCCCCTTGAGAGACATTAGACCATTCCATAATCCTACATGTTTGTATGCTTTGGGAAACAAGACCTTATTTCTCATTCATTCTTACCTCAGCAACCCTGGAAACCGCTATCTCAAGGTTCCCTCCTTCCACAGTATATGCCGAGATTCCATAAAAATACAATGTTTTAAGTGACTGGGTGCAAGAGAAACCATGACACTCTTTGTCAGAAAATTTAATGCTCCCAACAGTGAAAATCTTTGTAAAATAATGAAAGTTTGCGTATCGTTTTAGCATTACATTAATCATAACGCATTTGTGCAAGCAAACTACCTTTTTTCCCAAAACTAGTCTTACCCCACGTATCAGCTAAATAGGGATCTACTTTTTTGCACTTTGATTAAATTGATTAAATTTTTAAACTTTAAATTTACCACCCATTGAGGCAAGTCATTGGTTTGAAAATCACTTTCGTTAAAACAAACATTTGCCAACACAGGGTTTGAAGTGTTTTTCTGAATTTAGTAAAACAATTTGCCAGAGCATGTGCCTATCTTAATAAGTTATTAACAAGTCTTTCAGTTCGTACGCTAATGTTTCCAAAATGGGTAGAATTATTATTTGGTGGTTATTTGTGGGTAACATGACAATAGTCGTGTTAGGTATCTTTTATGAGGCTAAAATGGAATTTGTTATTTGATTTCTTAAAAGCAAAAAATTGCCATTTGAGTGAAAATGTGTGCTACTAGACTATATGCATCACGATAAAATTTTAACTAAATGTTAGCTGCGCTATTGAAGTAGAAATTTCAGCCTGTGCTTGGTGAGTTCTCACTACTTAATGCAGTGCTGTCTTGCCAACAATTTGATTCCATCATTGCAGTAAGTGGAGAGTAAATGAAGTCAATTTGCTGCTAAGACCCGAAATAAGATGGCAAAGCAAAACCCTTTTTGGTCGAAATGCTGTTTTTGAAGCCTCTTCTGCAGATGGAATTTTCGGTTATGATTAAACCTGAGTTACGTTACAAAAGTTTTTGTGTTTAAGATGCAAAGGGAGATCCTTAAAAGGAAAGTACATTTATTTCCATTTATGAGACGAAACAAAAGACTAAGGTTAAGCAACGTACACAACTTTTGACGATTTTCGTATTTCCTACACAGTTAGTCAAAGGTTCTTTAAAGGGATTGAACATTCTCTCAAAAACTTACATGTATTACTGTTACGAAATCATAGATAATGCATCAGTGCCTCTCGTCTGCTACTTTTTAAACGCCATTAACAACCCAGGTGTGGCTCCTTTTTTCGCTAGAATGCACTTTAAAAACAATATCGTTAGAATTTTGCGTCTTCGGTTCACTTCCTTTCCATGCAGCGCCTTTAAATAATGGAAGTCAGAGCATGGATCAAAGCGGGTGGACTCGTTTGACTGCTGAATTTTCTTTCACCGAGTATTACACCTTGATTTACTTTTAACTTGCATCTAGGTGTAGTTTTATTTTAAAAGTAATTGAACAACGGAATATGGTCCTAAAATTATAATAATAGGCCCTTAAAGAGTGCGTTGTGCTCGCGTCAACCATTCCATAATACGTTACTTCTTAATTTGGTTTCTTAGGCACGCAAGGTATAGTCGATTTTACACTTTGTACAACTGGCAAATGATTAAGCTTTGGTTGGCCATGTGATACCCTCTTCACAAGTTTCGTGATGGCCATCATTAAATGCCCCTGCGGCGCTGCCGTTATTTTCAGTCACAGGGATCGTGTGTGTGTTTACCAGGCTGTTTCTGACTAGTTACGACTGCATTCCTGTTAGGTATGGGATTTTAATCCTTAACGCCACTCAGTATCTGACGGAATTGGCTGAAATGGAGATTAAAATCCTGTTTTCAGAATCCATTTGAAAACCACTACTCCTCCACTTCTTCTTGCCACTTCCACTGGATTAGTCGATCTTAAACATTGATTTGTCATGCCATAAGTTGCTTTTAGGATATTGAAAAGTTCTCTTCTTCAAAACTTTTTTGTTTATTACCGAATGCTAAAATGGGAGGAATTAATGTTTACTCATTCCTGGCAGAAATTTATTTGCTAGCAACGTGGCACCAAATCACGAATTAAAAGCGGAACATTTGTAATTCCTGCACTCTTGATAAAACTTGATATTACGTTTTCCTTAGGCGATTTGTCAAAGATATATATAGTTCTTAAGTAGGGCTTGATTAAAGCAAATAACAGCGCTGTAGCCCAATCTAGTTTGCTGTCATAAGGCCAACGGAACCAAGGATATGCCGAAACGAATCACGAACCGCTTTGGCAGATGATTAGACCTAAACGCATGTGCACAATTTTGTGCTATATTCGCATTATAGGACTTGTTTTATGAAGAAAAATTGTTTGTACAGCACCGCTCATCTCCAAATAATCATGCTTTTGGCTATCCGATTGTAAATTACCGTAGTTTTTTAAAAAACTCCAGCAAATGTCTCTGTTTTACTAATTTAAAAAGAAAAACCGTCTTCATTTAAGATCTACACTGCGCTATGCTATATTA